GGCCGCGCACTACCACCAGGTGCTGCGGAGGCCCGACGCCCGGCCACATCTCCTCCTGCCCCACACTCTCCAGCAGCACTTGAAGGAGAGGCGGATGAGGGGCACCGCCACCCTGGTGGCCATCGGGGACTTCATGGGGGCCTCCTCGCTGGGCCTGCCGCCGGGCTGTCACCCTCAGGTGGAAGCCCCCTGGTCTATGCTGAGGTATGATGAGGAAGCACAGAGGTGGCTGCCCCTGGCCAACAACCTGCCCCCTGATCTGGTGAATGTCCGAGGCTACGGGTCGGCAATGCTGGACAACTACCTGTTCATTGTCGGGGGCTACAGGATCACCAGCCAGGAGATTTCGGCTGCCCATTGTTACAACCCTTGCCTAAACGAATGGAGTCAGCTGGCTTCAATGAACCAGAAGAGGTAACCCTTACTCGCCAAAATACACGTGTGTCCATGTATGTTGTCAAAAGAGACCCTGTTGAGTCACGAGATGTTGACTGGAGTCAGCATTATGGGAAGTGATTCAGACGTGTCTCTGTGCCCTGAATCCCTCCCATCTCTTGCCTTGTGTGGTGGGAAGGACCCTCTGGGCGATGGCTTGGCAGCAAGCTGCTGGGCAGGCCTGGCAAACCTTGTCCTTACCAGCATCCTATCGCAGCGCAGTGCTGCTGCCTCTCTTGCTTTGGGGCTGCCTCTGCGTGGCGCGGGGAGCTGCTGAGTTAAGGGAAGGGTGAGGGGGACAGGACTTTGTTGCGTAAATGCTGGTGGTTAAGACCTCAGCTGTGAGAGAACATGAGCTGGGTGTCAGCAGAGGAGGGCTGTGCTAGGGCCCTCCAACGTGTGCACTCGTTCACCTCCCTGTGAAATGGCGGGGGGCTCCCACTTTTCCTTTAAATGGTAATATGCAAGGAGCTGGCCTCTCCAGACAGCTGTCTTGCTTCTAGTTGAAATAACGAAAAAGTGTTTTTTTCTTAAAAAAACCAAAACAAACCAAAGATAAAGTTCTTCTGCTTTCTTTGAGATATATTTTAGCTCCAGTACTGTGACAAGTTTTCCTGCTCTTAGTGGAGATGTGCAAGCCGGCAAAGCTGGAGGTGACCGAAAAAATCTAGTTGGAGCAGTTTTCAGTTTTTCATTGTTTTGTACTTTGATAAAAATCCAGATGATTGGTGGGCCTGCATTTCAGTGCAGTATCACCAGAAAAATGTCACGAATATTGTGAGAAATTTCTCATCTTATAAGAATATTTGGATCAGGGAATCGTTCATCATTTTGATGGTTTTACTTTTTTCCTTTATCTTTTTGAGTTGTTTGTTTGACATTTATGTTTAAGAAAAGAAGAGAGGCCATTTCCCTGGCCAAGGTTCTGGCTGGTCTACCTTCATCACACTGCAGTTATGAGAACAGCTTTTTCTTAACTGAAACATTTTTTTTTCTCAGTGTTTAAGCCTTCTTGGAACAGTGTTGTGAAAAGTTCCATCTGTACAAGGAGTGTTTAGCTTTTACACACTGCAAACACCTTTTCTAACATATTTCCTAGAAACTAGAAGCAGTCTTTACCAAGGAACCTGTGGGAGCTGACATGTTTTAGCCAGCCTCGCTTCATCTGTCTTGCCTACATGAGCGCAACTAAGAGCACGTTGACCTCGGTCGAAAAGGATGATGGGCACAGCCCACACAGCATCTCTTATGGGAATTAACTTAAACATAGGAGTCCCATGTTGAGACATTTTGGCATTGGTTTGCGTGATGTGTATAGCAAGAGATATGTTGTTATTTATGTGTGATGATTGTGTAGCATGGCAAATGGGGGCTTTTTAAAAAAGTGTTTTTTCTGTGCCCTTTGTTCACTTTACAGCCTGTCTTTTCAAACTTTAGATTGGCCTTTTCCCCTGTGGACACTTTGCCTTGTTTTTGTCTAGGATATGTAATCCTTATAACAGAAATAAACTGACGGATTATTTTTTTTTCCTTATATGACTATTTTCAACTGCACTTCGATACCAACTTAGTCTTGAAGACCATCACAGGTGGTAGCAAGGTATTGCTTGGCGTAGAACTTCAAATTGGTGATTTACTGCAGAAAAGTAGCATGCAAATGTATATTTTTAAAATAATCTCTATTCTTACATTTCATGGTAGTTATTGCAGGCCAAGAAGAACTCAGAGTTATGTCTGCCCCTACCTAGAATGCAAGGTAGCAGCAAGTGAGCGTGTTGCTCCCTGAATGATAGTTAGGGGAAGGTTTTTTCCATGGCAACTGCTGACACCTTCACAAAACATGTTTTTTGGTTTAACATCTTCATGGAGTCTCAACTCTGCAGTTATTAGTTATTATTCCTTCTATATGACATACCATTTCAGCTGTCTGATGACCCATTTGATATTTTGTGGCCAGAACGCAGGAAAGGAGGGCCTGAGTCATAGGAGCCAAGAGCAGGGAGATTTTTGGGATCAGGGAATTTGCATTCAACACGAACAGCACTGATGCCTGTGAGCCACACGTTTGCGGTTTGCTTAGCATTGTATTTTTAGTTTGTTATGAAGTAGTAACGTAAGCACGGCAGTTGCCCACTGTGCTACGTAGGATTTACAGTCATGTGACTGTCTGCCAAATAACTTTATGTCAGCTGATGTAATTACATCCCACAGTTGATTTTTTTTACATACTTTGAGGGAGGGTTCTAGTTCCCAGTGAAGTTGGTTTGACTTCAGACAACAGAGTATCTGGATGTGGTCTCTATGAATGGATGCATATGTTGGCCTTAAGGGAAGGCTCAGGAATTATGGAAATAATTGTGCTGATTTGCTGTTAATACAAAGAAATTCTCTGCCCTCAATGAACCTTGTAAATTCTATGATATTTTAATATTTAATTATTTCCGTTGTTGTAATACAGAATCCCCGGACGCTGGCATTCTCTATACATGCATAGATGAAATATTAACTTCTAAGCAGGAGGCAAAGCCATCAGATGTGTACTGAATACTTAGCAATCATTCCAGTTTAGTTTAAAGCTCTTAGCTTTCTTTCTAGATGTAGTAGTTTTATTACTATAGTTTCAGATTTATTCACAGTAGGTAACTCTTATATATTATTCTTGAGAGAATATTATTCCCTATTTATGAACACAAGGGAGATGGATAAACTAATGTGCTCAGGCTCATACAGGAAGCCTGTGACTAAGCCTGGAATTTCTCATCATCTGAAGGCTAAATCTAGTGCTGATCACAAGTAACCCATAACGGATCACAGTTTCTAAATCTTTTCATTATAAAGATGTTGATGTACTTGGAATAGTGTCTTCAGAGAATGACCTGGCCTTTTCCTGGACAAAACTTCATAAAAGGATTGCCCAAGAGGACTTGTGGTCTTTGGGGACAAGAAGGTAAAAAAGTACGTTGGGGGACTGTTCAAGTAATGCCCTTGAATACCTTTCTATACTTTTCTTTGAATTGATGCTGCCAGTTGAAATTTGCTATTTAAAAAATAGGTTTTCTACTGAAAAAAAAACCTGAAAAAATAGGTTTTCTACTGAATATGCCAGTTACAGTTGCATATTCCACTTCTTTTTTCCTTCAGAACCTTCCTACTCATGACAGGTAAGTCTTCCAGGATTGGAAGACCCTTGTAAGCCCCTGGCTGTGATTATACACATGCACGTGGAACGTGGTTTTTTGTGAGTAATCTATGCCTGAACTGCGGCCACTCTGAGGACTTTTATAGGAATATAGGAGATAATGCTCCTGGGAAATGGTAGTGGTTTATGAGACCTTCTCTTTCCACATCTTGTAATACCTTTTTTTTCACTCAAAATTCTTCTGTGTTGGGGAAAAATAGCCTTTTAAAAAAATTTTAAAGTAGAAATATTAATGTCTTATTTATCACAACTGTATCACACGCTTCCAAAGCCAAGTGTTGGATGCAGTGTGCTCTGCAGACTCATCTAGGGAATGTAAAAATAGTGGTTCATGCAAAAAATATAAAATGCCTTGGAATTGCCTTCGCAACTGTGCTTTCATGATTCTTCATCTCTGTTGTAAATGCTTTAACTCTAGAATAAAGAAGTCATCTGATTTGTGAGAAATTTTAAGGTTGAAGATGATCATTTGGCAGGAAGGCCACACAGGTTTGTTAGTCCAAGCCTTGTGTTCTACAGCAGAACCAAGCTTACCTTGCAAATACATATCTAACTTGTTCTTGAAATCCTTCAGCAATGTAGATTCCAGCCTTCTTCCTCCCAGATGACTTATTCCCATGTTTAGCCACCCCTCTGATCAGGATGTCCTCCCTAACATCTAAGCTAACCTTTTCTCGTTGTTTACTAAATAACTGATATCAGTCAGTAAACAAGAAGAATGCTTGCTGTCCTCTTTAAAGCCACTTTCATAGTGGTCTCCTACAGATACACCTATGGCTGTTAATGCGATCTAGACCAATGTAAGGTTGTTTTTTTGAAAGCTGTTGGATGTTGTCTTTTATTCAGAAAGTTATGCATTCTGACCCCTAGATCCTTTTCCTTTGTGTGTTACATTTTTCTTCCTTTGTGCATGTAGTGCTTTGCACTTGTCTTTATTGAATTAAAAATATATTTTGAGTTATGGTAAAACCCTGCAGTTCACTCCTGCTTGTGTTTCCGGAGTTCCTTTCAGAGCAGGCAAGGGACGTCAGACGACAGCACATACCTGGACTTGTCCCAGCCAGAAGGGTATGCACTAGGCCTGGCATTTGGGAAGCAAGTACTTCTGATCCCCCAAGTTTAGATAACCCACTGGTGTGAGTGGAGGTGAATCTCAGATGTATCTCTTGGACTCCTCAGCTCCGTTGTTTCCAAGCTGCAGTCCATGGAACAGTTTTTAGTTGTGGAGAGCTGGCTGTTTGCTCAGTGTTTGCTTTCCTTGTTTCCAGCTGCTCTGACACATTAAAAGAGTGTAAAAATACACTAAATATTTCCGAATGTTCACTCTTCATAAAAACACCTGCTGTTACTGGCATGGAAAGGTAAACGGCAGAAGTTTTTCATAACATACTGAGCCATTGTCCAAATTTTTGTATACAGTGGGCTGATGGATACTTACAGCTACTTTTGAGTAAAAAGAACCTTATAGCTAATGTGTTCCATAAATCTGAGATACTTCCACTGAAGACCATCCATTTTAACAAGCGTTGGAGGTGGTTAAATGACTGACACAAATGTATGTGACCTCCTTCTAGGATAATTGAAGTTGGAAGTTATGCCACAAATCTTTCATTGGACAGTTTTTCCTGTGCTGCAAGAAACAATTCAGTGATATGAAGGCCATTAAGCAAAACTGGATAAATTACCTCCATTCAGACAGAATAATTACAGGGTAACTAGAGAAGCACATGTGAATCAGGAAACCTGAATTTTTTACTGTTCTGACACTACATACTTGTTTAGTTAATTCACATCCTTTGTGGCAGAACTTTTAGCGTGTTTAAAAATTGACTAGAATATCTGAGAATAGGGAAACTGTTATCTCTGTGTGTGTATGAACTCAGAAGCCAAAAATCCTGCACCATCTCCATCTAGACACAGAGTTACACACTTTCTAACATACTTTGGATTTTAAAGGATTGCTTGGAAAGTACATTTACACTTTGCGGTTTTGACACTTTTTTAATTTTCACCATAACTTTTAGAACAGGTACATTGCTTTGGAAATCATAATGCTTTGCAAGTAATTATCTTTGTTTCATACCTGCTATTGATTGCCATGTTATGCTGGATTCTCTAAGATGGAAAACGTAATTGCTGTAGAGGGGAGATGAACAGAGTGACCTAATTGTAAATGTCAGCAAAAAAAAAATGAATAAAAAGCAATTAATTCCTTCAAAGGAGCATTTTAGTTTCCAAAGCTATATCAGGATGACAAGAACAAAATGATTCCATCTGGAAACAAATTCTTTTTCCAAATATATTTAATAAAAAGAAATTGCAGGGCAGTCTGCTGCTAAGCAGGCTTCATTTTGTCCAGACAAAACCCTGCAAAACTACTTAGCAGTAAGTTTTGAATCTTGGATTCATGCAGAGTGGAACTCACTTTATGGCTTAGCAGGCCAATGCAAGCCTAAAGCATCACTTCAGTTTTACAGACATAACACAGTTCCTCGTTTGACTTTATGCTGAGCCAGTGCATTCCAATGACTTTCACACATCTAGTTAATTCAGATGCTGCACGGTGAAATCTCAGTTTGGCTCAGCAGTACAGAAGGAACAACCTTTCTAGACAGTGAGACTGTTTCTGAGGAAAAGAGGAGCTCATCTTTTATTAGACCAGCTTCCATAGCTGGGAGGAATAGCTGAACATGCAGACCCTCCATCTTCGAGTCCTCCAGTTTCTTCCTGTAGACTTGCACCTTTAATATCCGTAGACTGTTTGTTTCTCTCTGTGTTGTCTTAAAAGTGTGAGCGGTAAGGCTCCTTGCACTTCAGTCATTAGAAAGTTGCCCTTTGCCATGCGTGAGATATATAATAGCATAATGGAACGGAGTAAGAAATAAAAGAACAGGGCATTGCCTGCAGAGTGTAATGTGTTTTGTTCTGCTGTGGGTGGAACCTTAATATACAGGTATGTCTTATTTCAGTGGGTCGGAGAGCATATTTAGTTTAATGCTGAATATTGTACAAGACATCCTCTCTTCCTTCTTTTGCAAAACTTGATTCAATGTGTACCGCTTTAAATTTCTGTTTATTAGGGTTATTAAAGATATTTCATATTACAGACTAAGACGAGTACACAGTCTTAGGCATTCGTTAACTCTTGTTTGAAATTTCTGCAAATTTAACTCGAATAATTGACTGTGTTTACATATAGTGTGCTTTTCTCTGCTAACGGTACTTTACTAAAAGCCTAGTAAAAATGAGACATCTACTGAACGCATTAGCTAACTAAACATTTAAATCTCAAACTGTGACAGATTGAAATCTAAAATAAAATATTCATCAGACTCGGCATCAACATCATTAACATCCAAAATATCTCTGGTTAGTGTCCTAAGTAATTGCAGTGTAATTGCAGAATTTTGGCCTTGCACAGAAGAGTTCAGATGCTGTAATACATAAAGTGATGGTGGAAGTTGTGAGTGATGATGAGTATATTAGAGCCTGGGTAGGAAGAACTTTCTTTCCTGTATTTTTTTGTACATCTAAGCAACCTATTTCAATCCTGCAATCTTTACTTTCAGATCGAATTTTAAGCTTTTGGCTGTAAATGGGAAGCTCTATGCCATCGGTGGTCAATCCCTTTCCAACGTGGAGTGCTATAACCCAGAAAACGACTGGTGGAATTTTGTGGCATCCATGCCAAACCCTCTTGCAGAATTCTCAGCTTGCGAATGCAAAGGCAAGATCTACGTTATCGGAGGATACACTACCCGAGGTAGAAAATTTTCTTTCAATTTTTTTTTCTTTTAACCTAATTGCTTCTAAGGCCCAGATAATTTTCTTATCTTTTCAAGAAATCTTCTGAACTGATACATAAAGCTGTGTAATACTCATTAAAACATGCAGAAATAAATCACTGGTAGAAAATAATTGACAAACGAAAACAACAAAAAAATTAGCTCTGACATAAAGGAATCAGATATTATTTTCAGGGCCTACATGGACCTAGGCCTCTCTAGTTCTCAAGGAACAGACTGATGTTTACTTCAGCACCCAGCTTAGCCCTTCTTGTTTAGATTTTGATCACACAGTAGAAAGAGAGGTCTCAACAGATGTACTTTGGTTACTTTTAAAATACATATTGTAGGCTGTCAGAAGGAAAAATATGAAAAAGAGACCTTCCTGCGTTAGTATTTCTCATGTATTAATAATGTTTCACTTGCAAATTCAAGCTATAGGTAAGATTTTCAGTACTGATATAAATTAATTGAATAATTAATCAAAACCTTAAGCAAGAACTAACATTTTTAACTTCCTGTTTTCTGAGGATACTATACGGAAGGAAGGATTTGAATCTGCAATCTCTTTTGACAATTACTTTATCCAGTGGAAAAGCAAATCACTTAAAAAGAGTTCTCACTTGTTCACTCATTAAGCACATGGTGACATCCTTTTAGAGGAATACCATTTTCTCCAGAGTTTTAGAAGTAATTATTTTTCATGTCAAATGTTCATTATTTACCAGGATTGCATAAATTTAAATGCCTGTCTCTAGGCTTTTGCCCACTTCATTTGACCACAGTAGTTTTAAATTTCTTTTTCCAAATGGAGAATAAAATTAGGAGATCAGCTTTTACAGAGAGTACTGCAAGCAAAGCTAAACTGACATTAGAACAAACTGTCCCTTCTATTGTCTGAGCAGATTCTAGCTCTGCATCATTACAAAGTTTATAAAATACGCATTTCCACCTCTCATAGTTCTTGTAATAATAACAACTTTCAAAAGCATTTTGTCTGGTCCATTCTGACCCCAAACCTGGTAGCTTCACTGAGGAAAGTGTGAGATATTGGCATGCTTCTGTCCATATGGAGGGCCACAGAGTGGTGTTCTCTGCAGCTCCAGTCCTCTGGTCATCCCCACTAGGGGGCCTGTTGGGGTGCATTGGGCTCCCTGATGTCTGGCACTAGGACTGAAAGAAGCCTGGCACACCACGCTTGCTGTGCGGAAAAATTCATTAACAAAGGTGTGTAGTCAGAATTGCTGCCTCGTGCCAAGTTCCTTATTCGGTAGTTACTACCTCTGGTTTCAACTGAAGGAGGGTAGTCAGTGAGTTGCCTCTTGCTTCTTCCACATAGGAATCCTCAGGGAATTGCTCCTGGCCTTCATTCCCTAGATCTTTTTCCTAAAAGCCATTTTTAATGGAAACAGGATAGTGGAACAGTGTAAAGTTGTGAGCAGTGGATAACTGACATTTAGGTTTATGTTTAAATCCAAGACTGTTTACGACAACAAATGCCTGTGGTTGTTATAAATGAAGATCCTTTCCTAAACGAGAATCAGTTTTTCTGTGGCACCTTGGCTTAGGACAGCTATCAAACTTAGAAACCAGAATTGCCACAATTAGAATCATAGAACCATAGAATGGCCTAGGCTGGAAGGGACCTTAGAGATCATTTAATCCAGCCTCACTGTTGCCAGGGACGCCACTTCTCGACTAGATCAGGCAACACATGGGGACCGAACGGGAATCGAACTCGCAACCTTGGCATTGTTAGCGCCACGCTCAGCTGACTGAGCTAACTGGCCTCCTAATTAATTACACTGGTGTTTCACCTTCCACGTTATGCAGAATCATAGAATGGCTTGAGTTGGAAGGGATCTTAAAGATCATCTAGTTCCACCCCCATCCCATGGGCAAGGACACCTCCCACCAGACCAGGTTGCTTGAAGCTCCAGCCAGCCTGACCTTCAACACTTCCAGGGAGGGGCTTTCACAACTTCCCCGGGCAACCCATTCCAGTGCCTCACCACCCACCTAGTAAAGAACTTCTTCCTAAGATCTAATCTGAGTCTAACCTACTGTAGTTTAAAACCACACCCCCTTGTCCTATGACCACATGCCCTTATAAAAAGTCCCTCCTCATCTTTCCTGAAGCCCCCTTCAGGTACTGAGAGGCCACGATAAGGTCTCCCTGGAGCCTTAGGCTGAAAACCCGCAACTCCCTCAGCCTGTCCTCATAGGAGAGGTGCTTCAGCACTTTGATCATCTTTGTGGCCTTCCTCTGGACCCTCTCCAACAGATGCTGGAGACTGTTAAGGCTCAACTATCTGAGAGATGCTGAGGTTCATTTGCTATTTCATTACATTCACTACATAAAAGTCATGCAGCAATTAATACGTAATTTTTAAATTTTATTATATTTAATTTTATTTTTAGTATTTCTGTATATATGCACAAGTACAGGTTAGGAGGCGATCTGCTAGAGAGTAGCTCTGTGAAGAAGGACCTTGGAATCCTGGTGGACAACAAGTTATCCATGGGACAGCAATGTGCCCTTGTGACCAAGAAGGCCAATGATATCCTGGGGTGCATTAAGAAGAGTGTGTCCAGCAGATTGAGGGAGGCTCTCCTCCCGCTCTAATCTGCTCTAGTGAGACCTCACCTAGGGTATTGCACCCAATTCTGGGCCCCTCAGTTCAAGAGGGACAGGGATTTACTTGAGAGAGTCCAATGGAGGGCTATGAGGATGATTAAGAGACCGAAACACCTGCCGTATGAGGAAAGGCTGAGAAACTTGGGGCTTTTTAGTCTGGAGAAGAATCTAATTAGTGTGTATAAATATATGAAGGCTGAGTGTCAAGAAGGAAAGGGCAACCTCTTTTCACTCGTGCCCTATGATAAGACAAGGGGCAGTGGATCCAAGCTAGAGCACAGGAAGTTCCACCTCAACATGAGGAAGAACGTCTTTACTGTGAGGGTGACGGAACACTGGAACAGGCTGCCCAGAGAGGTTGTGGAGTCTCCTTCTCTGGAGACTTTTAAGACCCATCTGGATGTGTTTCTGTGTGACCTGTGGACTCTATGGTCCTACTCTGGCAGAGAGTTTGGACTCAATGATCTCCAGAGGTCCTTTCCAACCCCTAACATTCTTTGATTCTGTGATATACCTCAGTTTTGGTAGGTTTTGTGGGCTATTTTCTTGATCTTTATAGAGCTTTCTCCTGACTCTGCAATTTCCAAAAGATGATAGGATCTGGAATTTCCCACTGCAAATTATGACACTTCTGGAATAAAGACCCTTCTTTCAGTTCTCAGCTCTCACTTGTGAACCTAGATCCTAACAGAAACTCTGTGTCAGACACGATAAGGTGGTTGTTGGTTGTTTTGTTTTGTTTTTTTTTGTTTTGGTGAATATAAAAGATCCACACTCTGGATTGAGCAAATTAAGGCCATATCACAATAGATTTCCATTTCATATGCCCTCTTTCAAGCCACAGCACTTTCTACCTGGGAAGATTACTGCTATAGATAGACATAGAAACTTAATTGGGATTTCTCTCCCTCCTAATGAGTCAGAGAATGATACGTTGTTTGTAGACAAAGATAATCTATGTGTAGTACTTTGATCAGCAATTTCACAGAGCATTGCCATGATAGTTTCACTCCTTTTTTCCTTTATTTAAAGTGGACTAGAGTTCAAGAAGGCAAAGTAAAGTAATAAACAGTGACTGAAAATCAGCAGAGTGCAAGCAAATGCTAAAGCAGCACCACTCTAATCGTGCTGCTAATGCACTTCATTCATGACAATCCAGTTATATTTATGGCTATTTATACCTGCTCCCTTACATAACTTGTCAGTGTGTCACTGCCTGCTCTTCCACTTGGGAACTCATCTGGAGATCATCATGCAGGATCGACTTGTAATATGGAATAGATTTTATTAAAAGGCCAGGCTGGAGTCCACAAACCCGTTACCACTTGCCACTTGAGTTTGGATTTAAGCTAAGGTCTCTAGAGACTGAAATTGAGTTTACTAGCTAAGGAGTCCTGTGCATTCTGTATTAATTTAGTGAAGCCTTGAACAGAGTCAGAGTCTCCAGTGCACTGTAAATCAGGCTAGTATTGTAACAATTTCATAAAATATTAGTATTGCAAACACATGTATCCACTGAGTTGTAAATGAAGTGTAGATAGTTTCAGCTTTTTTCTGTGCCTCTGTCTGATGCTGGAGCACGGAGTTCCCGGTTCTTAAATAATTTTGACAATGTGTGTTTCTCTCTTTTTAAAGTACTGAACATCTGCCTTCAGATCATCCATGCCACTTGCTGAAATGTAGCTAGCTTTACGAATTTTATTCTGTAAAACTTTGATTTATGGAATGAAATGCAAAGTATTGCAGTTAAGCTTGGATGATAAATCATCACTTGACAGCCATTAGTGAAGCATAATAATGATAATTCATGATAATTTGATTCATCTGTGATCGCTGTTGGAGAGCAGAATACTGCTCCATTTCCTTTGTAATAAAAAATCCTTACATATCAATTGGAGACAAAATTAAAAGCATAAGTTAAAAGGTAGGGATTAATCTGCTAAAATCTGTATCCTGAGAACACTTACATCATGTAATGTGCCAGAAGTAGCTTATTTTTTCTCTCTGCAAAGGAACAGAGTGTTCAGATTTTATTGTCAAGGGCAAAGAGTTGCAGTTCTCAATAATCATTATTTCTTTCTTGGTCTGCTGTGCTTTTGCATGGCAATACATTAGCAATCTGTAATAATGGCTGATATATAGTTTGTAAGGGGGAAGAAACCTCCTTCATGAGTACCTTCTAATACAATTATTTATTTATTTGTAAATATCTCTCCTCTGTTTCAGATAGGAATATGAACATTTTGCAGTACTGTCCCACTTCTGATTCCTGGACCAACTTTCAACTTTGTGATGTCCATGTTCGCAAACAGCAGATGCTCTCTGTTGAAGAAACCATATATCTGGTAGGGGGTTGTATTCATGAACTTGGACCAAACCAAAAATCCAGCCAAAGTGAGGATGTGTTAACTGTGCAGTCTTACAACACTGCTACCAAAGAATGGCTCTACCTCAAAGAGAACACATCAAAATCGGGTCTTAACTTGACTTGCACTCTCCACAATGATGGAGTCTATATCCTGAGTAGGGATATTACTCTATCTACAAGCTTGGAGCACCGTGTTTTTCTTAAGTATAATATATTTACGGACAGTTGGGAGTCACTAAGACGCTTTCCAACCCTTGGACAAAACATGCTGATCTGTTCCATGTATTTGCCTGATGTGCAAGAATTGTAACAGCAACAGGATTTTCTTTTTAGCTCATTAATCGTAGAAGAAATTGCTTCCTCTAAATACTTCTGTTTTCAGAATGTAATGTGTTTGCACAATGTAGGCATAAAATACTGATTCTATTCTTTCAAAAAGTTGCAAAATCCGATATTAAGAGAAATGCTTCCAGAAACAGCTTTAAGATTTCAGTTTAGGAATTTTATTGTTTTGGATTAAAATTTCACCAGCCACTGTTTGCAATTTAAGCATAAAGTTATCATGTTGTTAACTGATAAAGGAATTCAAAGGCAAAACTGATCAGTCTAGTTTTGTTTTCCAGCATAATAGACAGTGCAGAAGATGAGCAAGAAGTATTCATGGTAAAAGTGGAAATAATCCAATAAAATATTAAGTATAATGAAAACCACAAAGGGAACAATTTCGTTTGAAATATAGTTTTTACTCAGAATACTTTCTGTCAAATACAAACTACAGTTTATACTGTCACATTTTTATCTCTTCTGCTGTAACAAGTGAGATTCTCAAAGGTGACATCAAGAGAGAAGAACTTCTCGTGAAATAGTCGTAATAAAATGCTTTGCCAGGAACTGGGAGGAATTGCCTTGAAGCTTGCAATTTCTAGTTGGAGATGAGATGCTCATTTATTGGAAGTTGGTAGCATTTATTGCTTCCATTAGGGCAGAAGTAGAAAGGCTCTACATTCAAATGCAGAAGTTTAGCCATCTTTGGAAAGGCTTTAAGTTTTAGTTACCTTGTTGTAACCTGTAGGACTGAGTGTTAAAAATCTAATTATAGTCGTCAACAAGCTGCATATTGGAAAAATGTGCCTGAGCACAGGCAATGGTGATTCTGCACCAGCACATCCTGCTTGGTAACATCCATCACTTAGTGTGGAAGGGTTGATTTGTGTAAATGACTTCCAACACCACCCAAAGCAGGTGCACATGAATGATGGCCCTTTTTTTGTGTTACCAGGAGCTTAGAATCAGAATCATAGAATCATAGAACAATTCAGGTTGGAAAAGACCCTTGGGATCATCGATTCCATCTTAACAGAGATTATCTCAAGTTTGCCAGCCAAAGTTGTTAGTCTCTACAAAGACCACTGTAAAATGGTCACCATGAGTACTCCTTTGTGGGGTTTCAGGAATAAATACTCTGGGAGCTTCTCCCAGTTCCTGTCTATTGCCTGAGAGAATTCTGGTCATGATTGACCACACTTCTTTTTGTAGCTGATACGGTTGTGTCTTCTGAAGGCACCTGCCTGGCTATGGAATGTACGTCCTCATGGCAGGAAAAGGAGAATGTGGTCACCATGGGAAGGTTTTGCTGTGATTGTCTTTAGGGAAGAAATAGCAAGGTCAGACATGTCCTGAACACATTGCAGGGATGCTGGTTCTACACCAGCTGTTTCTCCACAAGATATTTAATTCACCTGAACAAGTTCTTAATATGCAGAGAAGTCTTTTTTTTTTTTTAAAATTCATTGGAATTCAGGAATCTGAATCGTGTTTTGAAGGTCATACAGAGGAGGAGCAATAACTCCTTCAAGATCCTCTTAACTCCCTCCTTTTCCCATGGTTTTATTCAAATCAGTGCTGACTAAAAATGCTATCAGACTTGAAGTGCCTCACCAACTCCCACTCACACATTCAGCGTGCAGGTGCATAATTTTGATGTTCTCTGATCATGCATAGCAACCCAAACAGTAAATCCCGCAAAGCTCATTCAGAATGAGAACATTTTGATTTGGACACTTTTGAGATACAAGTGGACATGAAGCAAGGCATTTTAGATGTCCATGGTTTACCTTTTGGGTGAAATTTTTGCAGCCTGGCGGAGTATGTTATGTTTCAGCTCAAATTAGTGTATACTCTTCAGCTGTAGCCTGCAGTGAATTTATTTAGTTAAGTCCATTTCTATATGTTAGTGTTTGTTCCTTTGAAAACACAATACATTGAGCATCAGCTGTGTTTTGACAGCTCTATCAAGCCAAATGATGGCTCTTCTGCAACTGATACTGGTGGAGGGAGTCACATCTGAGTTGTGGCATTCTCTTACCTAACTAACTGTGAAAACCTGTCACCCACAGATTTGCGGTGTGGCAAATCTAATGAAGTCCTTTCAAACTCATTCAGTTCTTAGTGCAGTCGTAATTTCAAAAGCTATGACATCGTCTGTGATTCTTCATTTTAACAAGAGGCCTTTTCACACGGGGTTTATCTACATATTGGTTTCAGCTTCCAGTGACCAAGTGGGCACCTTGCAAATCTGGAGAACTTGCTCAAATGTGGAAGAGAAAGATGACTCAGACTGTAACATTTTTGGGGTTACTCAGACTGTAACATTTTTGTCAGTACGTGGTCCAAACTCCTCGTATACTGACATCTAAGAGTACTGTGAATACAAATCAAAGCTGATGTTGAATTTAGTGGTAACAGCAGACTGTAATAATCTAAATGGAAGGTATTACTACAGACTGAAGTAAATACAATTTTTTAAAACAAAGTTCGTTACAGAAAGGTATGCAATGAGGGTTGTCCCCATACCTCAGGAAAAAAAACGACAAACACTGTAATGACTGTCTCATGTCCTTTTCATTTTCTATCCCTTCAATATTTCACATAAGGCACTGTTGGGCAGCTTCTGTCTTTTGAGGCAAGGAAAACTTGTTGAGGATCACTTACACAGAATAATTAAAAAGCTGCTTTTTAGCCAATGGTTCTGCTGCTCAGTGATTCTGTGTGCTCTGTTTTCTCTGTTGGTGGGAGGATAAAGATTCTTAACTTCAGGACAAAGAGGCTTCTTTAGATTGCCAGTGTTACAAGTGTAGACCAAGGGGCCTTGCAGTCTGACCAACTGGAAATTCCTGTGTTATCCTGATGTTGCTTCTAACTTACTATGTGGGCTTGGAGAGATCACTCCACCTTCTTGCATCTTCATACCCAAATGTAACATGTGAGTAGGAATGTTTGTCTTGTGGAAACACAAATGGTTTCTTTGACATCTTGAGCATGTGAAGGAGTACATATATTCTTATTCTTGTAACTATTGGTTATTCAGACCACTTCACGACAAGTGGCAGGATAGAAAACACTAGTAATCTTGTTGTGTCTCTGTAAGTTACCTTTATTTTGAACTGATATCTATTCCCAGTCTGTTTCTTTCTTTCTTTTTTTTTTTGTTTGGTCACCTAGTAGCCTGTAGTTCATCTAAATTTCTTAGTCTTGGTGTTCTCAAGTCTATATCCAAATTCAAAAATGATGCTTTTCTGCTGTGTCTCAATTATCCAGTGCTTACATATCCACTATTCATATTCTTTGTGTCATGGACCTATCTCACTTTATACTGATGAGCAAAAGTTGATTATGTTAGAGGATGATCCCAAGTCATAAGAAGGAAGAGCAGCCTCTAAAGTCCTGAGGGAAGAGTAAATGGAAAACTCTGGAAACTTAGTTTCTTTTCAAAAAATAGAGAAGCATTTTAGAAGGTTTCTAACATCAAGGCTAAGAGTTATCATAATAGTTTCTTCCTTTCTGGGAATGGTTTGTGGGTTTCAATATGAAATAAGAGTTGTGTGTGGCTTAACTTTAATGTCACTGGCCAATTTCCATAGGTTTCCCTTTCTGCCCTGTTAGTTGACCTTTCTTGGGCTTAATATCTGTTTTCCATTCTTTGAGGATTTTGCCTTCCTTCATCAGTGTCCAGCCTGTTTTTTCCTGAAATTATATAGTAACAGTTTGTTGATCTTTTCTATATGTTAGTCTGCTTTTCACACTAATCTGTGACTGTCAATCACTATGATGAAAAAGTCAAGTGATTTGTAATTCTGGCTGACATTTATTCAATTTTGGGCTCTCAGAAGAGAAGTCTGTGAAGCTACAAATGTTTTGTTTTATTTAATCCTCATTTTAGTGAGAAATGATGCTACAGATATTCAGCTTTTGGAAACTGATCTGCGTCAGTAACGTGATAGATAACGGAAGGCACAGAACGTAATGGCAACATTTAGCGCGTAAAATGCTCGTAGCCGCAAGCAGAGGCTACTCATCCCTATGATCCCTGTAAGGTAAGATATGTACTGTAAATGGTGTCAAACAAGAGACGATCCTGGAAATATCTGTCAGGATGGCCAGTGAATATAAAAGTGCTTACCAAGAGTGCTTACCAGAAACTGCCGGCAACTGTGGTACATTATATTGATTTTGCATTTACAGTAGTGACCAAAGGGTGGCTCTCCATCCCCACAGTAAGTCTTAGGAACAAGCATAAATGCTGTGAGAGACAGAAAGTTTCAGTGTCTTTCTCTACAATATTAACGCTGTCATTCTCTGAGTATGTTTCCTATCTAATCAACTTAGAGCCTATTTTAGCGTAATCTGTCTTCTTTTTCCCCCAAAGGAGAGTGGAGTTTGGAAAAGAAGCCTGGATTTTGTGAACTAATAGGTATCATGCATTCCCAGATTTAAAATTGATGTCTCAATTATATATGGTATGTCGATTTTTTTTCTAAGAGTATTGATATTTCTAGTAAACATACATTATTAAGTCCTTTTGATACCAGTATTTCCTGAAGTAAGTTCCAGTTTCTTTACTGTAATTAGAAGAGTGAAACATGTTTCATTTCTGAAATACAAAACTGTGTCTTATCAGCAAAAAGGAATCACTACAATTACTGTATTTTTCTAGTGTAAAGCAGATTAGAAAATGTCCAGTTTTAGAGTATACATTTATATGATGTGCTACGCATCTTCAACTAATATATGCTTAAGTACGAGAGGAAGATGTTCAGCACCTGAGCAAAGGTATTCTCTGTTTGTTAGTATTTATTCCATTATTTAAGATTCAGCAGTGAATGCAAACTTTCTGAATTCTCCTTCCTTTGCTCCATTTTTCAGTTGAAATTTATGATTATTTGATCCCTTGTTGATTTTCCACTCTTTAATGTTTTCCAGATGTTAAGGGTGTGCCTTGTGATAAGATACCCTTTAGAAACAATTTTCAGA